TGCTCAACCCACCCCCACCCCTTAAAAGAGAGGGTCATAAGTCCCGATGGTTGTTTGAATTGCTCAACCCACCCCCACCCATAAAAAGAGTGGGTCATAAGTCCCGATGGTTGTTTGAATTGCTCAACCCACCCCCTACCCATAAAAAGAGTGGGTCATAAGTCCCGATGGTTGTTTGAATTGCTCAACCCACCCCCTACCCATAAAAAGAATTATCGTCTTTCATCAAACAGTTATATGTCATGGTGATGGTTATTTCCTCTTTATGACAGACCAATGGGCCATTATGTTGAAGATAAAATATAGAGCTGAAGGTAAGCAAACACTATAAGACATAACTAAAAATCAATGTCAACTTTAGGAACAAAATGTTTTATAAAAAGTATTTTATAAGTACTCTGATGAAAGCTATGTTTCAATTAGGAAGTGTCAGCTTAAGAAGAGGTCCATTGTGATTGGTCAGTTTAAGAAGAGGCCATTGTGATTGGTCAGCTTAAGAAGAGGCCCATTGTGATTGTTCAACTTAGGAAAAGGCTTATTGTGATTGGTCAGTTTAAGAAGAGGCTCATTGTGATTGGTAAGTTTAAGAAGAGGCTCATTGTGATGGTCAGTTTAAGAAGAGGCTCATTGTGATTGGTCAGTTTAAGAAGAGGCTCATTGTGATTGGTCAGTTTAAGAAGAGACTCATTGTGATTGGTCAGTTTAAGAAGAGTCTCATTGTGATTTTCAGCTTAGGAAAAGGCTCATTGTGATTGGTAAGTTTAAGAAGAGGCTCATTGTGATTGGTCAGTTTAAGAAGAAGCTCATTGTGATTGGTCAGTTTAAGAAGAGGCTCATTGTGATTGGTCAGTTTAAGAAGATGCTCATTATGATTGGTCAGTTTAAGAAGATGCTCATTGTGATTGGTCAGTTTAAGAAGAGGTTCATTGTGATTGGTCAGTTTAAGAAGAGGCTCATTGTGATTGGTCAGTTTAAGAAGAGGCTCATTGTGATTGGTCAGTTTAAGAAGAGGCTCATTGTGATTGGTCAGTTTAAGAAGAGACCCATTGTGATTGTTCAGCTTAGGAAAAGGCTCATTGTGATTGGTCAGCTTAAGAAGAGGCTCATTGTGATTGGTCAGCTTAAGAAGAGGCACATTGTGATTGGTCAGCTTAAGAAGAGGCCCATTGTGATTGGTCAGCTTAAGAAGAGGCCCATTGTGATTGGTCAGCTTAAGAAGAGGCCCGTTGTGATTGGTCAGCTTAAGAAGAGACCCATTGTGATTGGTCAGCTTAAGAAGAGGCCCAATGTGATTGGTCAGCTTAAGAAGAGGCCCATTGTGATTGTTTGATCAGAAAGATGCGCGGTGATAATCAGCATATTTTATAATACGCTGCTTCTCAATCAAATGGGCCTTTTCTGGAATTCCTTCCCCCCCCCCCAACCGAAAAAAAAGGAGTGGAGGAGTGTACATTTTTTTAGCTATACTGTAATTAAATTTGAAAAAAGACATACTGAAATATACATATTTTAATTAATTTTGATAATCCAAATTTACTCAACAGCGAATGTAAATGGTTATCTCTGGAATGGTGTTGTAACAATGATAACGGAACATGGTATTACTATAAAATAAAAAATAACATCTTTTTTTGGTTTAAAGTGGTTGTGAGAGTGGGTAGTTGAGGGTTGTCTGTCTTGCAAGAGAATAGAAACGTAGCTTAAGAGTCTAGTAAGACTATTTTGTCCATTGTAGACACTTGAAACTTTCTAAAAAAAAACAAGCTTCCCTTCACCTGGTCTGCTACAAGGATGCGTCTGGACTGACTGTGTGGTACACTGAAAATATTTTTCTTAGGGAGAAATATATTTATATGAATAAAACGTTCGTTAATAACTAAAAGATAAGTCTCTACTAATCTACATGGCCTACTTTTGTAATACCACGAATGATGGAGAAAAGATGTGTCTGTGCCCTGTGATACATTGTAGGCTCAAGTTGTAGGAAAAAGTTATAGGTACAAGTTATAGGCACAAGTAATAGGCACACGTTATAGGCCCAAGTTATATGCACAAGTTGTAGGCACAAGTTTTAGGCATAAGTTATAGGCAAAAGTTACAGGCACACGTTGTAGGCACACGTTGTAGGCACACGTTGTAGGCACACGTTGTAGGCACAAGTTGTAGGCACAAGTTGTAGGCACAAATTGTATCAAGCACATTCCCGGTTTTGTTCTTTACAATGCTCTTCAGGCTGCTCCTATCTTCTAAGAAGAATCCAATTCAAGAAGGTATCAGCTATTTGTATAAATACATTTGAGGTTGATTTGAAGATAAATTGAGTTTCTTGCCATCCGGGAATGGCCCAGCTTTTTGCCACCCACCTTCGACGAAAAAATAATCTTGTCCGAAAAATGCCACCCAGTGACGTAGGAAGGGACGGTCTTGTCTACCCCTGACAGCACTTTTGTCCTTCTTATATTAGGGGCGTCATTTGCGGCTGCCAGCATAGTTTTTTTATATTGGAAATGGGCGCCCTGGGTGGCATTTACCCTAGCTACACCACTGATGCCGCCTTTCAATAAGGAAAAGTGCATCCGTGGGCGGAAAGCCCCCCTCCGCACCCCATTATTACGCCTTTCCTAAAGAGCTAACCTTCTGGATAAAGTAAGTCGCAAAACGGTACAAATGTATATACGTTTCGCCTGCACCGTTGCCAAAAAATCGGTTACAATGTTAGAAGGTTGTTCAGGTTGTATAGGCTGAAGTAGCGTCAACAACATCTACAGCGTAACAACATCTACAGCGTCAACAACATCTACAGCGTAACAACATCTACAGCGTCAACAACATCTACAGCGTAACAACATCTACAGCGTCAACAACATCTACAGCATCAACAACATCTACAGCGTAACAACATCTACAGCGTCAACAACATCTACAGCGTAACAACATCTACAGTGTCAACAACATCTACAGCGTAACAACATCTACAGCGTCAACAACATCTACAGCGTAACAACATCTACAGCGTCAACAACATCTACAGCGTAACAACATCTACAGCGTCAACAACATCTACAGCATCAACAACATCTACAGCGTAACAACATCTACAGTGTCAACAACATCTACAGCGTAACAACATCTTCAGCGTCAACAACATCTACAGCATCAACAACATCTACAGCGTCAACAACATCTACAGCGTAACAACATCTACAGCGTCAACAACATCTACAGCGTAACAACATCTACAGTGTCAACAACATCTACAGCATCAACAACATCTACAGCGTAACAACATCTACAGTGTCAACAACATCTACAGCGTAACAACATCTTCAGCGTCAACAACATCTACAGCGTAACAACATCTTCAGCGTCAACAACATCTACAGCGTCAACAACATCTACAGCGTCAACAACATCTACAGCGTAACAACATCTACATGAAGTGTGCATCTAGGCAACTCTTAAAGTGTGTCTCAAAAGACGATTGTTTTGGTCCCTGTTTTGACGTGCACCATCAGCTCATACAAAGGTATGCATTAAAACATCTTCCGGTTTATCCGCACATTTACAAGCGTACCAGTGTTGACTATTCAGACTCTAATGCTTTATCTGAAGTTATATTTTTAATGATCAAACCAAGAGAACATTATCTAGCTAACAAACTCTTGAAGCGTTTTCTTTGTTCCGTATATCGCGTCGTTCACCACAAGATATGCATTTTTTAAAGCTATTTAAACTTCTTTAATCTAAAAAATAATTATAAATTAATTAATTTTTAAAAAAAATATGTATCTTTGAAGCAATTTATGTGGGCCAACCAGTGGGCCGTCCATAAACGAGAATGTGGGCCGTCCATAAACGAGAATGTGGGCCGTCCATAAACGAGACTGTGTCCTTTTGTGATTAAAATCTCCATTCTGCGTTACATTTTTGTTGACAATTGTTTTCCTTAGGAAGGGGGCAGTGTGTAAAAAAAATAATTTCCAAAATAGCGTGAAATCATTTTTGATGGCTCCGATGAAAGAGACACATTCAATCATATTAGGTTAGAGTTTCCATTTAATTAATTGACCAGTTTTGTAGATCTGAAGCCAGTTAGCGAGACGGTACACAGCGTCAACAACCCCATCTGTGTGTTTTCATCTTGGCCAGGGTCAAAGGTCTTTTAACCCATTCAATGACCCATTTCGGTGGCATCACCCAGACATCCGGGTAGTTGTGTAGCAAGTGCTCGAGCCACCTCACCAATGCCGGGTAGGCGTTGGGATTCCGGTAAAACAAGAAGTCGTGTGTAAAGAAGGTCAGAGGTCGACGGTGAGGGTAGTAGTAGTCAGTGAAGTGTCGGCTGAAGAGAAACAACAAATATTTAATTTGCATTATAGATCATGACTTTCAATAAAAAAATATTGCATTACATTTTTTTTTCATATCTAAAATAGAGACGTATCTATTCCTTCAAAAAAGGCGCACGGTGCCAACCACTTTATTGTAGATTTACGAATGAGTTCAGTGGTGGATCCAAGAAAATGTATCTATGGGACAAACAGAATAAACCAAAACACCAATCGCTAACATATGTAAAAAAAAAAAAAGATGTACTGGCTCTACATGTCATTGGCGTTTCTCCCCACCAGGTGAAACACATGATAACATTAAGAAGTTAACTTTTTTTTTTAAACCTGGGGTCGGGTTTGTTTTTTTTTTTTTTTTTCATTGTCCGGGTATGTACCGGGTGTGCTAATACCCGGCATTTCCGGGTATTCCAGGTCAGTTCCCGACTCAGCCCAAATGACAAAAGCTACAAATTAAATATATCAGCTCATTTTTTAATAATGAAAATGCATTGTCTTCAGCATAGGTGCCCTTCTCTTACACTTTCCTCACTACTTGCTTACATCAAACTAATCTGTAAGCTAGTATCCACGAATTTGAGAGTAAGAACATTGCCTCGGGGATTAGAGGAAAGTGTCAATCCATCTGAATGTTCTCTTACTGAAAAAAATTGAACCACTCCTTCTCCGTGATGGAGCTTTTGTTTTGGCCAACACTGCAAGCGTCCAGCATGCTGCATGGCCGCCCGTCGTCACCAATCCACGTCGTGAGTGGAACTTCCCAGAGTCCAGGATACCGCCTCACGGGGCAACGGCAGTACATGCATCTGAAAATATTGGATTGGGGGCTCGCTCCTTAATGTAACAAAATAGTAGTTTGTAAATTATTATTATTAGTGGTTTTATACAGCGTGCTACACCAGCCAAGCACTGGGCTCACCACGCAGTACATGCAGTTTAACAAACACAGTCATTAATTAACTTTTAAAAAATTAATTAACATACATGAATTAAATGAAACGAAACAAATTTATATTTTTATATTTACTCCACCCATTCCAGAACTATTGACATGTCAAGCCATGGATGGCAGCCAGCAGCATCGCTTATCGGTCAGAAAAATGGGGGGGGGGGAATCAGTCAGGATAGTAGAGTTTAAAGAGATGTGTTTAGGGTGCTGTTTTGAAGATTGTGATGGTCGGTATATTGCGGATATTTAATGGAAGAGACTTCCATTGTTTAGGGGCACAGAAAGAGAACGATCGTTCACCGTATGTTTTTGTGCGACTCATGGGGACAGAAAGAATACGCGCGTCTGCGGAGGAGCGAAGCTGTCGAAGGGGTGAATAGACAGAAACAAGTTCGGTAAGATAGGAAGGGCAGGAATTCTAGAAAACGTTGTGGCAGAGAATACCATGCTACAGACACGAACAAGATAAGATATGAGTAGGCTAATTATTGATCCATTTTTCTAAACTGACTGGTAGACAACGTCCACGTTTTGAGCATGCGTTTCGCCGCTCTCTTCACTAAATTAACCTGCAGATACTCGTACTGAGCGCCTACTTTTTGGGCGGGAAGTCAAAAGTCCAGGGCCAGGTAGGAGGGCGTTCTCTGCTGCCGATGGATGAGTCATACAGGAAGCCGGAGTCTCTGAGCACGTCGAACTGGACGTCGCGAGCACACCGGAGGTACGGGGCACGAAATCCGACGATGGAGTTCACGAGGGAATGGTCGCCTGTAGCCTTGAGGATGTTCTTTTTGACACCAACAATCTGAAAGGTGGGGCGTTCAATAAGTTGGGGTGCTGGCGGCAGTGGGGCGGCTATTCTTTAAATGATAACACTAGGCAACAATAGGCAACAATTGGCAACAATAGGCAACAAACACAACTTTTTAAAAAAAAATATTTGGTTTGTACTAAATTAGTATGTTGATTCCAAGCTGAAGTCATAACTTCGGTTTACTTATATTGTGTAAATTTAGTATATATTTATTATAAATGTTTGTTTTCTTTCTGTTGTAATGACGAAGGCATTTGCCGAAACGTTTACATTTTGTATTCTAAGTAGCCATTTTTAAAGCTTAACCTATTTTTTTTTTTTTATTTGCACAAATTGTTTGTATCTCAATCAACTTGAAAGCTTTATGGCAGTTCATCACTGTTAACTATTATCAGCACTAGTTATCCCAGGTGCATCCAGAGAGCAGTTACTACCAGTACATTCACAAACAGACCGTAACAAATGGACAAATGATCTTACATTTTCAATTTTTTAAATGTCCTAACTCAAAAACTACTAAAGCAAGTTGATTTTTTAAAAATAATTTGGTTTATTAAATTGTAAAATTTTGTCGAAATGGCTGAAGATACGTTCGTCCCGAGTTGAGTAATGGCGCCAGTTTTAGGAGATAGGTATTGCTCGTTACCTAGAGCGAACTTGCTTCTGTTGCATTGTACTTAACACCAGCCATTTTATTATTACTGTATAATAATATATTTCTTGACTACATTCATAGCTTAAATCTACACGCTGATTCTGACTTTATAATTGGAATCAACGTGCTAAAATACATATGTTTTTATTTCAGTAGTGAAATCGTTGGTGATTAGTATCATTATTTGGTGTGTCTTGAGGCTTCATTCTTTATTATTGACATCCACAATAAAATTGTCCGATTCATTATCATTTAAATTAACCTTAATGCTTTATTTGTAAGCTCCCAAACTCTCTCTCTCTCCCTCTCTCTCTCTCTCTCTCTCTCTCTCTCTCTCATTCCTTCTGTCTCTCAACAAATTACCGCACTCTTGACCGCAGGGTAGTCCCAGCGGTAGCCCCTTGGTAACTTATGAGAGACAGTGTGGGAGGCTATCTCGTGGCCAGCATTAAACATGTCTTTAATCAAAGAAATATTGCTATGTCTGGTGGCGACATACAGGGCCATCCTGTGGACAAGATGAAAGGTCAAGATTATGTGTGTGGCGACATACAGGGCCATCCTGTGGACAAGAGGAAAGGTCAAGATTATGTGTGTGGCGACATACAGGGCCATCCTGTGGACAAGATGAAAGGTCAAGATTATGTGTGTGGCGACATACAGGGCCATCCTGTGGACAAGAGGAAAGGCGAATGTCAAAACATATGTGTGGTGACACACAGGGACATCCTGTGGACAAGTAGAAGACAATCACATCTCAAAAAATTATGTTTGGCCACATACAGGGCTATTCTGTTGACAAGGTGTAAAGACAATCAAATGTCAAGACATACAGGGTTATTCTGTGGAGAAGAGAAAAGACACTCTAATGTCAGGGTATTGTCTCCAGATTTGTTTACATCGGTCAACTGCAGGTCTGAGTGTTCATGACAATGATGTCATAGGTCAACCTCAGGTCTGAGTATTCAGGACATTGATGTCATAAAAACGATTTTGTGACATCTGTTACTCCCCTCTCTCCCCTTTCCCCACCCCAACCCAAAATATTTTTCCAAAAGAGACAAAAAGCTAAAACTGTTAATTTTGTTTGTATTTTTATTACTATTTCAAATAGATAATTTTCCAAATTGATCCCTTAAGAAAATAAATGTAGAGCATAATTATCTAGACAATAGAAAGAGTAACTAAACACATCACTGTGTAGTCAACACATTTATGTGAACACATGAAAAGCAGACAAATTATTAAAAGCCCCATCTGACATTTTAAAAATAACTAACTAAAGGTCAGTTGGTAAAATCCTCAAAACCAATCGGTAATAAGCACTAGAATAGTTCTTTGAGAGTTATACTTTCTTACAAGTTTACCTGGCCTTAAGATATATGTTGTATGGCTTTATAAATTAAGCCATCATAGGGGATGTCAGCTCACCTCCAAATACGTTTGCTGTCATAAGAGTGCATGATAATTATTTGCTTGATTAGAAATTAAATTATTACAATATGAAACTTTTTTTCTTTATTTTATTTCATTCTGATATTTCATTTTGATATTTCATTCTGATATTTCATTCTGATATTTCATTCTGATATTTCATTCTGATATTTCATTCTGATATTTCATTCTGCTTACCGTGTGTGACATCGTCAATGTTGGTACTCACATATTCACACAATTGTGAATTATTAAATAACACACACTTGCACAAATACACATACGCTATTTATGTGTACACCTACTGATCGCCAATTAATTATTATCTCACATCAACTTTGACAGACTCTCGCACATCAAAAGATACACTCCAGAGTACACGTTTGTTGTCTGTGTGTGTGTGTGTGTGTGTGTGTGTGACTTACTTCACCGGACACCCGTTGGGGTTGTACAGCTTGTAGATGTTGTCGACAAACAGTGGCCGGAAAAACTTGCAGTAAACGTCGTTGTAGAGGAAGTCATCAAACGTCAGCATGATGAACATGGGCGTGTCCGAGAGCTGGAGCTTGGGCGTGGCACCGAAACAGAAGCAGTTGGGGAGTTTACAGTTGTGCTGGTTGCACTCTGAGCGCCAGGCACCCCGCTTCGATCTCCCTGCAATTGTGGCGTATGAAAGTCAACAGGAATTATATCAACGTCGGCTTGGTACTTAAAAACTAATGGAAGGTGCACAGTGGACCAGAGAGTGACATTACCTAATTTAACTATAATTGCTGGCAGACATTCTAGCGGCCGTACATATAGAACTACTCACAAAGAGTAACCCCCCCCCCCCCTTTTCCCGGCCAGGACCGTGAATTTTATGATATCCCCATTTTCGTTTTGTTTCTAGATTGAACAAACTAATCAAACTAATTACATAACTTCTGTAACAATTAGTTATCATTAAATGATTATTTTATTTGCCATTTGAATACTCATGCTGAGTCTACTATTATCATTTATCCTCGTTGCTGTTCAACTTTATCACCGAACGTGATTATGGCTCGTTGTGGATTTTTAAATTATGGTTAGCTATGTATACTTGTCATACTTTGAATAAGCTATTATATCAAGAGTTGTCCCCCTATCCTTTACTAATAATTGTCATTCTTTGAATAACTTGTAAAAATATTCAATATCCAGTCTTATCCAACATGTTTAGTGCTAGTTATGTATCCGTAAATGTTATCACTTTAAATAACGTGTTCTATATAGTGTATTCTTTTAGACATTGTCCTCTTTCTTCGGCCTTTTTCCTACTCTAGGGACAACTAAAGCTTTCATCGTTCTCAAGCCCTCGTATCCAGTATTTTAAACTAGTTCAAACTGTAGTGACCACAGCATCACTACCACCGGCTGGGCACGGCTACAACAATAATAGATATAGATAGATAGATATAAACCTATCTACTTTACCGTCAATCAGGTGGCATGAGGAAATATTGGATTCTTTGCACTGGCCTGACGTCACATCGTACCTTGGAAGAAATCATTCAATGCCCAGTTAAACGTGCGTGAAAGGCTAGTTAGCCGTTCTCATCAAACAACCTTGACAACTGTGCCTAAACTGCCTAAACACAACTTAAAACTCTCGTCTCTTCACTCATTCTTTCAAAATTTGACTACTGTAACATTCTTCTCTCAGGCATTCCTCAACACCACATAGAAAAACTTCAGAAGGCACAGAACTCAGCATGCAGACTCATTTTTAAATTAAAGAAACATGACCACATTCAACCACACATGCGGCAACTCCACTGGTTTCCAATATCCTCTCGCATCAAATACAAGTCTTCCAATCTTTGCTTCAACTCGTTCACTGACCCTCACTTTCCTGTCTATCTCTCTGAACTGTTGCTTCCTTACATCCCCACAAGACAACTACGTTCTTCCATTGACAGTAGAACCCTCTCAATCCCAAGAACTAAAACTAAGACCATCGGTGAACGCTCCTTCTGCTTCCATGGGCCCACGTTCTGGAACCAGCTCCCCTTCCATATACGTCATAGTGAAACCTCGTCCATTTTCAAAAAGTCCCTTAAAACTCATCTGTTTAGGTCCGCCTATGACCTGTGATGCACCCTCCTTGCCCTACCTAATTTTCTGTTTCGGTTTAATCCTGAAGTGTCAAAGTGTCCTCTTTTTATAGCCATTTTCATTGTTTCTATAGAATAGTAGTTACTATCCTAGTGTCTCATTTGTATTTACTTAGTTTACATGTTTTAATAACTGTAAAGCGCTTAGAGCTTTATGATAAGCGCTATATAAAAATGCCTAAATAAATAAATAAATAAATACGGTTGTGTCAATATCCCAGTGTATAAAATGCTATTGACGAAGAGTGTACCCATAGTGCCGTCAACTGGTGTTAAATCCTCGATAGGTACAATGCAATTTTGTATAGGATCACTTAACGGGTGGTGGTCCTTGTCAATGCATAAGTAACACGCGTGTGAAAAAGGGCAAGGTGAAATTATACGAACGACTTAATGTCAAGTTATTTAGATGAAAATTTCACAAGGATTTCTATCGATCATATTTAAACTCGGACACTTCTGTGACTCGGCACCGGTCAGTTAATGAAACCATTTATGTCCTATTCACAAAGAGTCACAGCTTATTTCGTAACGCCACTGTCTTCGAGTCCTGAGCACAACCTTTTTTTTTTTTTTAAAGACGATCAAGAGATGCACTTTCGTTTTATTACGGGTGGACCGGGGGATGACGTCACAACTAGCCTTGTAAACAGTTGTTTTTTTTTGTTGAAAAACTTTTGCTAGGAAATCCCGTTTAATTTTTTACATAAAATCATTTCCCCAGCTTTGAATTTAACTCGGCACCGGTCAGTTAATGAAACCATTTATGTCCTATTCACAAAGAGTCACAGCTTATTTCGTAACGCCACTGTCTTCGAGTCCTGAGCACAACCTTTTTTTTTTTTTTTAAAGACGATCAAGAGATGCACTTTCGTTTTATTACGGGTGGACCGGGAGATGACGTCACAACTAGCCTTGTAAACAGTTGTTTTATTTTGTTGAAAAACTGTTGCTAGGAAACTCCGTTTAATATTTTACATAACATCATTTCCCCAGCTTTGAATTATTAAGTTATTTTTTTTAAAGAGGAAAAATATTATTTGAATGTCACTGTGAAATAATAAATTTTATATATCTGCTTTTGGTCGGGGCGGTTATATAGTCATAAAGTGCATATTTATAATTTACCTTGGATGTCAAAAACCATCTTGAGTATTTCTTAACAGAATAGTTTGTGGACACAGACGGGTATATGCTCCTGATTGATTTGACCAAAACTGCTCCACGCCTCTGGTTGACCTTCAGGACGCTGCTGATTTTTAAACTTAAAATCTTACCTGGTTTGGTTCTCACACGTTTTGGTATAAACCTTTCCGGACTCACAAACTAAAAATCTGACTCCCTTGCCCGAGTCCGGCTCTCCGTCGCGCAAAGGGGCGCAGGCGGTTTGGCCGCCGTACAGAGCTCTCAAACCTTCGCTTGTGGCCACATTCTCACAGTGATTGATCGTGGCCCACGTACGTGAACATGCCAGGGCTAGGACAACAAACAGACCTGATGCCACGCACGTCATGTCTTAGTGAAGTGCCGGGCCTTATGGAAAGTGAAATTTGAAAGTAATTATAAAAGCATCATATTTTCTTTAAAAAATTAAACTTTCAACTAATTAGCTGTATGGCTTGGAGTCGGCTGACTCGCCATCTCAGTTTGTTCCTCTGTGAGTGAGGATTCGTTCTTTAATATCCGTGATGGTTTATATCGAGTGAGTGGATTTCGAGGGTCCAGATATAAATATCGCCAGGGCTCCTCTAGATATGACCAAGACGCACCATCATTTTACTCAAATATATATAGGGAGAACAGTATTGAAATCCTTAATTTTTTTCCCCATAGTTTTTAAAGCACTTGCCAACGTGCGCCCTTTGGTACACGTCACTGACTATAAACATGTATAGATATCATATAAAATGTGTTTTATGGTTTATTTAGGGGGGGGGCTCAGTGATGATTAAATTGACCAATCGAGGAACGGTTCTCAAATAATAATGTTTGAAAGGGTTCTCAAACTGATGGGAACCTAACATGGGAAATCATCGTAGGGAAGGATAATTGATGAGCATCATGTGAGCACTTATGTAACGTATCTCACTAGCATATACATATATAAAATAAATCACTCGTGCCTATCTAGATGAGACCCGGGTCACGAGACGTGCACCATGAAGTTACTATGTATACTCCAGGAACTCTTCTTTCGTAAAATAGAAAAAAAAAAGAAGAAAACTTTGTTTATTATTGTCTCCGTTGGACCGTCTTAAACAAATGTGTGTGTGTTCGTGTGTGTGACATTGGTGGTGATGATGACAGCAATGGTGTGTTCGAAAATGAGCTGCTTACCCAGAGGAGTGTTGTGTGTGTGTTTGTGTGTGTATGGGGGGGGGGTTGGGGGGTTGAAAGCCTTTTGTGTAAAGTAAATGTTTAGATTTTATTTTTAGTGATATTTCATGTTTGTGTATCAATTTAAAAGAGACTTGAAGTTTCTACAACTTTATTATTTTTTTCCTGAGATTATGAAAAAAAGAAGGAAACAAACAACAACAAAAAATAAGCAGATTAAAAAAAAAATTAAAAAACCCCATCAAAACAAAGCAATGAAGCATCAGCAGGCAGTAGGCTATAACCTCAGTGACAATTTTAATAGACCAATAAATACTTGCAGTTAATGCCCTTGCTGCGGGTGATCTTCTCTTGTTTACTACCACCAGACTGTAACTAACATGTAAGACAGCTTGCCTGACGGACTTTAAAGAATTCATTTAGTGGCTTTGAAAGTTTCTCTTAAAAATTTGATGTCGAGGGTATATTCAGTTTCATTCTCAAACTTATTTTTAAAAAAATGAAAAATGACCGTTCTAAAATGTTTGACAGTTTGAATAGAAGGAATGTTAGTCTTTGAAAAAAAAAATTCATATTTCAAGTTTTAATCTGCATATTCCCAACTAAATGGACTCAAAGAAAAGTTCATGATTCCAACACTGAATATCTGAAGGAGTAAAGTAAACTTGGTGCGGGACAACAAGATAACCAGTCCTTTTAACATTTCTTTTGGATAACTTCAGCGCCACGCCACGCATTTTGTACAAATACAAAATTTGCTTCTGCTTTTTTTTTGCGAGGAGGTAGGGGGATAAGGTGGCTGCTGGACCAGCGTTCCAAAACTGTCTCTACACCACTGAGCACACCACTGAGCACACCACTGAGCACACCACTGAGCACACACAACTGAGCACACCACTGACCACACCACTGACCACACACCACTGACCACACACCACTGACCACACCACTGACCACACCACTGAGCACACCACTGACACACCATTGACTACACCACTGACCACACCACTGAGCACACCACTGAGCACACCACTGAGCACACCACTGACCACACCACTGAGCATACCACTGACCACACCACTGAGCACACCACTGACCACACCACTGACCACACCACTGACCACACCACTGACCACACCACTGACAACGCCACTGACCACACTTACATTTTACAACTCTTTTCAAGTACATTTAGAGCTTAACGCAAGCCTATCTGCTTGTTGAACACACTTAAATCGTTTAACCAACGTTTCTATTCTAATTCATACTTCATTTCAGATTCTGACGTCAGCTTTTTGCTATTGATTAAACATGGTATCTCTCTCGCGCCCAAGCTGACAGCAGAACTCAATTGGCTGAAATATGTCTAGATTTAAAAGCCCAATCCGTTGTAATAGTATATATTTTAAAGCCATATCCATTATATTATTATATATTTAAAAGCCCAATCCGTTATAATATAATATATTTAAAAGCCCAATTCGTTTTAATATGTATATATTTGAAAGCACACTCCGTTATAACATGTATCTATTTGAAAGCCCAATCCGTTATAATGTGTATTTATTTGTAAGCCCAATCCGTTATAACAGTTATATTTATAAAAGTTCAATTCTTTATAATATTATATAATATTTAAAAGCAAAATCTGTTATAATATGTATATATTTGAAGGCCCAATCCGTTATAATATGTATATATTTAAAAGCCCGATCCGTTATAATATGTATGTATTTGAAAGCCCAAACTGTTACAAATTTTAACATAAAACAATATCGATGAATGTGTTTTCAAAATTTTATTCATTTATTTGAGCAAATATTTGATACAAGATGCCTAAACTAATGTTTAACTAGCATCCCCATCTTTGAGCTTTCATCTGGGCGTTAGTCAAGGGATTTCTCATCCAGTCCAGTACTTGCTTCGGAGTAACCACCCATACGTCATCATGGGTCAGTAAAAGATCTTGGAGCCAGGACACAAGGGCTGTGTAAGAGGCGGAGGACCGAAGAAACATGGAACCGTGTGTGAAGTAAGGCATAGGCACCTTGACAGGGTAGAAATACTTCTCAAAGTTTTTCCTGCAAGAGAAATGAGTTTCTAGATGTGAACTATGAAGTCATGCACACATAACGTTATGGAATGACATACACATATCTCGTTATAGAAAGACGTACACAGATCATTTTAAATCAAAAGACATACACAGATCACGTTATGGAAAGACGTAAACAGATCACGTTATGGAAAGACATACACAGATCACGTTTTGCATAGACATACACAGATCACAAATACTTCTTTTTTTTTAAGGTAGGATACTTGCATTTATATATTATGTTAATTTAACTTGTACTTATTGAAATGGGTTTTTGGCTTGTTTTACCGATGAAGGCACATTGACTTGTGGATTAGGTCCAATTATTATTAAAGCTGTACATAAATTGTTATATTGACACAAATTGTTCGTGTCTAAAGATTCTATGTTAAAGCTTCATCGCAGTTCAACACTCTTATCACAAGTACAATGTATGTGACTGTCTCCTCTAACAATAAGAAGTAGGTTTGTATGTGACTGTCTCCTCTAACAATAAGAAGTAGGTTTGTATGTGACTGTCTCCTCTAACAATAAGAAGTATCGTAGGTTTGTATGTGACTGTCTCCTCTAACAATAAGAAGTAGGTTTGTATGTGACTGTCTCCTCTAACAATAAGAAGTAGGTTTGTATGTGTCTGTCTCTTCTAACAATAAGAAGTAGGTTTGTGTGTGACTGTCTCCTCTAACAATAAGAAGTAGGTTGTACATATCATTGAGTCTCATCCTGCCCTCTATGGACGTCATGAAATCATGCAACTGGTCATACAAGCCTAATTGTACAGATTGCACAATGCTGACTTACTTGTACAGATGGTACCATACTGACTCACTTGTACAGATTGTACCATGCTGACTTACTTGTACATATTGTACCATACTGACTCACTTGTACAGATTGTACCATGCTGACTTACTTGTACAGATTGTACCGTGGTGAATTACTTGTACAGATTGTACCATGCTGACCGACTTGTACAGATTGTACCATGCTAACTTTCTAGTAAAGAATGTATGACCCTATCTCTGACTTTCTTGTATAAATTGTACCATATTAGCCTACTTGTTCAAAATGTACCACTTTAACTTAGATCTATTTGTAAAGATTGTGACACACTTACGTACGTATTGTACCACTCTATATCTGACTTGCTTGTACAAATTTGTACACACTCACTCACTTGTAAATAGTATAACACTTCTTCTCTCACTCACTTGTAAAGATTGTACAAAGTCTATGTCTGACTTACGGGTACATATTTTACCAATCTATATCTGAATCACTTGTACAGATTGTACCACTTTATATCTGACTCACTTGTACAGATTGTACACATTGACTCACTTGTAAAGATTTTACAAATTCTATCTTTGACTTACTTGCAAATATTGTACCACTCTATCTCTGTCTCACTTGTACAGATTTTACCTCTCTTTATCTGACTCACTTGTACAGATTTTACCACTCTTTATCTGACTCACTTGTACAGATTTTACCACTTTTTATCTGACTCACTTGCACAGATTTTACCACTCTTTATCTGACTCACTTGTACAGATTTTACCACTTTTTATCTGACTCACTTGTACAGATTTTACCACTCTTTATCTGACTCACTTGTACAGATTTTACCACTTTTTATCTGACTCACTTGTACAGATTTTACCACTTTTTATCTGACTCAATTGTACAGATTTTACCACTCTTTATCTGACTCACTTGTACAGATTTTACCTCTCTTTATCTGACTCACTTGCACAGATTTTACCACTTTTTATCTGACTCACTTGTACAGATTTTACCACTCTTTATCTGAATCACTTGTACAGATTTTACCTCTCTTTATCTGACTCACTTGCACAGATTTTACCACTTTTTATCTGACTCACTTGTACAGATTTTACCACTCTTTATCTGACTCACTTGTACAGATTTTACCTCTCTTTATCTGACACACTTGTACCGATTGTACACAGTGACTTACTTGTACAGATTTTACCACTCTTTATCTGACTCACTTGTACAGATTTTACCACTTTTTATCTGACTCACTTGCACAGATTTTACCACTCTTTATCTGACTCACTTGTACAGATTTTACCACTTTTTATCTGACTCAATTGTACAGATTTTACCACTCTTTATCTGACTCACTTGTACAGATTTTACCTCTCTTTATCTGACACACTTGTACCGATTGTACACAGTGACTTACTTGTACAGATTGTACCACTGTGTCTCAGAGTCTGAGAAGTAGCTTGTGCCAACAGAGCAAGCGTCCACCATGCTACAGGCGTAGCCATTGTCACCAACCCATGAGTTGAGTGGCACCTCCCATATACCAGGGTAACTCTTGGTTGGACATGGGGGGTTGACACAACTGAAACAGTAGATTGACAGCTTTGACTTAATAGAGACACTTGACTAGACACGGAGGGTTGACACAACTGAGAGAAAGTATTTTATTAAATTATTAAGAAACTATATCAGTTATAATCAATTACTTTACCATCCTATCAAGTAATCCTTTACATTACCGTCCTATCAAGTAATCCTTTACATTACCATCCTATCAAGTAATCATTTACATTAACGTCCTATCAAGTAATTATTTACATTAACGTCCTATCAAGTAATCAATGTACATTACCGTCCAATCAAGTAATCACCGTACATTACCGTCCAATCAAGTAATCAGTGTACATTACCGTCCGATCAAGTAATCAGTGTACGTTACCGTCCTATCAAGTAATCAAAGGTGAATGGGTACAGAGGAGGACGTCCTGTTGAAGCCTCAATGTTAGTCACAGACGTGTCATACAGGAAGCCATAGTCTCTAAGCACGTCAAACTGGACATCGCCGGCCACACGGAGGTAGGGGGCGCGAAACCCAATAATAGAGTCAACCAGGGCCTTGTCCCCGGTCTCTTTGAGAACCTGTCGTTTCATGCCTTCGATCTGGCAACATTAATTAGGACATCATTTAATTAATAAACTACGGCCTCTGGCCTCTTTGTTGGTGGCCTAGATTAAGGGGTTACAAATAGTTTCATTATGAAAAAGTTTAATATTTGTTTTCTAAGAAATGTCGGCTGTCAATTCCACATATTTTTTCACTTGTTCATGTTCAAATGCAACACAACATATTAGTATCAAACTGTCATTTATTGTATGAGAATATTCCCAAATTAAATTATTGGTTTACTTTGTGTTCCAAATGGTCTTTTTTAAATGGACAATCGTCCCTGAGACGTTGATGACCATAAGCACGAGAAGCTAGGAATAAAAGAATCTCGGCGACCTTGGGTCAGAGGTGTTTATAGAGGTGGAGGGCCAGGTACATAAAGGTGGAGGGCAAGGTATATAGAATCAGAGGGTTAGGTATATAGAGTTGGAGAGCCAGGTATATAGAGGTGGCGGGGCCAGGTATAAAGAGGTGGAGTGCCAGGTATATAGAGGGAGAGCCAGGTATATAGAGGTGGAGTGCCAGGTATATAGAGGTGGCGGGGCCAGGTATATAGAGGTGGAGTGCCAGGTATATAGAGTTGGAGGTCCAGCTATATAGAGGTGGAGTGCCAGGCATAGAGAGGTGGATGGCCAGGTATAATAGAGGTGGAGGTCCAGGTATATAGAGGTGGAGGGCCAGGTATATAGAGGTGGAGGTCCAGCTATATAGAGGTGGAGGACCAGGTATATAGAGGTGGAGGACCAGGTATATAGAGGTGGAGGTCCAGCTATATAGAGGTGGAGGACAAGGTATATAGAGGTGGAGGTCCAGCTATATAGAGGTGGAGGACAAGGTATATAGAGGTGGAGGTCCAGCTATATAGAGGTGGAGGACCAGGTATATAGAGGTGGAGGTCCAGCTACATAGAGGTGGAGGACAAGGTATATAGAGGTGGAGGACCAGGTATATAGAGGTAGAGGGCCAGGTATATAAAGGTAGAGGGCCAGGTATATAAAGGTAGAGGGCCAGGTATATAAAGGTAGAGGGCCAGGTATATAAAGGTAGAGGGCCAGGTATATAAAGGTAGAGGGCCAGGTAAATATAGAGGTGGAGGACCAGGTATATAGAGGTGGAGGACCAGGTATATAGAGGTGGAGGTCCAGCTATATAGAGGTGGAGGACAAGGTATATAGAGGTGGAGGTCCAGCTATATAGAGGTGGAGGACCAGTAATATAGAGGTGGAGGACCAGGTATATAGAGGTGGAGGTCCAGGTATATAGAGGTGGAGGTCCAGCTATATAGAGGTGGAGGACCAGGTATATAGAGGTGAAGGACCAGGTATATAGAGGTGGAGGTCCAGGTATATAGAGGTGGAGGTCCAGCTATATAGAGGTGGAGGACAAGGTATATAGAGGTGGAGGTCCAGCTATATAGAGGTGGAGGACAAGGTATATAGAGGTGGAGGACAAGGTATATAGAGGTGGAGGACCAGGTATATAGAGGTGGAGGACCAGGTATATAGAGGTGGAGGTCCAGCTATATAGAGGTGGAGGACCAGGTATATAGAGGTGGAGGTCCAGCTATATAGAGGTGGAGGACCAGGTATATAGAGGTGGAGGACCAGGTATATAGAGGTGGAGGTCCAGCTATATAGAGGTGGAGGACAAGGTATATAGAGGTGGAGGACCAGGTATATAGAGGTAGAGGGCCAGGTATATAAAGGTAGAGGGCCAGGTATATAAAGGTAGAGGGCCAGGTATATAGAGGTAGAGGGCCAGGTATATAAAGGTAGAGGGCCAGGTATATAAAGGTAGAGGGCCAGGTATATAGAGGTAGAGGGCCAGGTATATAAAGGTAGAGGGCCAGGTATATAAAGGTAGAGGGCCAGGTATATAAAGGTAGAGGGCCAGGTATATAAAGGTAGAGGGCCAGGTATATAGAGGTAGAGGGCCAGGTATATAAAGGTAGAGGGCCAGGTATATAAAGGTAGAGGGCCAGGTATATAGAGGTAGAGGGCCAGGTATATAAAGGTAGAGGGCCAGGTATATAAAGGTAGAGGGCCAGGTATATAGAGGTAGAGGGCCAGGTATATAAAGGTAGAGGGCCAGGTATATAAAGGTAGAGGGCCAGGTATATAGAGGTAGAGGGCCAGGTATATAAAGGTAGAGGGCCAGGTATATAAAGGTAGAGGGCCAGGTATATAGAGGTAGAGGGCCAGGTATATAAAGGTAGAGGGCCAGGTATATAAAGGTAGAGGGCCAGGTATATAGAGGTAGAGGGCCAGGTATATAAAGGTAGAGGGCCAGGTATATAAAGGTAGAGGGCCAGGTATATAGAGGTAGAGGGCCAGGTATATAAAGGTAGAGGGCCAGGTATATAAAGGTAGAGGGCCAGGTATATAAAGGTAGAGGGCCAGGTATATAAAGGTAGAGGGCCAGGTATATAAATGTAGAGGGTCAGGTATATAAAGGTAGAGGTAGAGGGCCAGGTATATAAAGGTAGAGGGGCATGTATATAAAGGTAGAGGGCCAGGTATATAAAGGTAGAGGGCCAGGTATATAAAGATAGAGGGCCAGGTATATATAGGTAGAGGGCCAGGTACATAGATGTGGAGGGCCAGGTATATAGATGTAGAGGGCCAGGTATATAAAGGTAGAGGGCCATGTATATAAAGGTAGAGGGCCAGGTACATAGAGGTAGAGGGCCAGGTATATAGAGGTAGCGGGCCAGGTATATAAAGGTAGAGGGCCAGGTACACATGACAACACTGACCTCGTCCACCATTTCCTTGTAGTCGCTGTCCTTGTCCCCCTGGGGGAGGATGTGATGGACGGTGTGCGAGGCTATCTCGTTCCCGGCGTCGTACATGACCTTCACCTTGGAGTAGTCTGTGTTGTCAAGGGAAACGTAGAGGGCAGTTCTGAAATATTAACATGAGACAAATCTAATGTTCTATAGAACAAATGTCACAATGTTCTATATAAGAACTGTCACAAACATCGCATCGAGACACATCGTGTTTGGCTCCACATTCCTGGAGGTTATAGAATTATAGAATAAGTAAATTATACACGTTAGTGGTTGTGTTACGCATGTATTATGACGAATGGGTAGAGTTGCTGGAAAGAACTACGTTAAATGAGGGTTTGTGCAGTGGCGTTGCAAAATAAAAAAAAATAGGGCTGGGGGGAGAGTCGGTCAGCGCAGGGGCGGATATAAGCTACGTCCCAAAGTTTGTGTTTTAGGATTTGGATGTTTTAATAGCTAGGAGGTTTGGGACACGGGTTCAGAAATTATTTTTTCGTGGAGAAGCAGGGGTAGGGGTGGCGCTTAAACCTTTGCCCACCCCTGGCGGGCTTAATGTTGACCCACCCCTGGTGGCACTAATCTTGGCCCACCCCTGGTGGCGCTTACCCTATGTACACCACTGGAGGCGAGTGCATTATTTTAAATGGTGAACTCGAGGCAACATAGGTGCAAGCTTCTCAATGACTCTAAACACATGGGCAGACACCATGGTCAACTTACCTGATCCCACAACCATTGGGGTTGTAGAGACTATACGAGTTGGCCACAAACAAAGGCTGAAAGAAGTTGTTGTACAGCTGGGCGGTGACCCCATCGTCAAAGGTCAACATGAGAAACATAGGCGTGTCCGAGAGAGACATGTTCGGTCTGGCCCCGTAACAGAAGCAGTTGGGGAGCTTACAGGTGCCAGAGTTGCAAGGTCCTGTGGGAGCTGGGGGTGTCGGTCTGCGTGTGGTTGACGTTTGTGCTGGGGTGTAACTTGGCGGCGATGAGGACGCACCCGCGGGTGTCTTAGAATCTGATTGCTGCGGCTGCCGACTGGAGGTCGGGCTCGGGTTGTAAGGTCGGCTTGTTGTTGGTGCCGCCGCTGTAGTGGGACTTTGGGATGAGGCGTCTGTCAATGTGAATGAAAAGTTGAACATTTAGTCAATAATAATACATAACAGACAGCAAGGAAGCTATTGACAGACATCAAAAAGCTATTGACAGACATCAAGGAAGCTATTGACAGACATCAAGGAAGCTATTGACAGACATCAAGGAAGCTATTGACAGACATCAAGGAAGCTATTGACAGACATCAAGGAAGCTATTGACATACCTCAAGGAAGCTATTGACAGACCTCAATGAAGCTATTGACAGACATCAAGGAAGCTATTGACAAACATCAAGGAAGCTATTGACATACATCAAGGAATCTATTGACCGACATCAAGGAAGCTATTGACAACATCAAGGAAGCTATTGACCGACATCAAGGAAGCTATTGACCGACATCAAGGAAGCTATTGACAACATCAAGGAAGCTATTGACAACATCAAGGAAGCTATTGACAACATCAAGGAAGCTATTGACAACATCAAGGAAGCTATTGACCGACATCAAGGAAGCTATTGACAACATCAAGGAAGCTATTGACAACATCAAGGAAGCTATTGACAACATCAAGGAAGCTATTGACAACATCAAGGAAGCTATTGACATACATCAAGGAAGCTATTGAGCTGTATCAAAAGTTTGTTTTTAAATCAAGAATTTGTTGTTGTTTTTTAAAAAAATAAATTCAAATTTCGCATCTTACTGACTCATTTGACAAGACATTTCAATCATGTTACTGTCCTGGTTGCCTCACCATGTTTTGGGTCAGCATCCGGGAGTTTGCACGAGGAGACTGAAGGCCAGTTACAGGTGCCAGAGGAGACGTCATACCTGGCAATAAATAGGAAGGAAAGGGAAATTTAGTCAATTTTATCCTGGAAATACATTTTAATCGTGCCAAAGAAGTAAGTTAAGTTTAATGTATCGAGATGTGGCAACGACAGACAAAGCCAAGGGATAAAAATGTTCCAAACTCAGCCGCTAGGCTAATTCCAAAGGTGATCTCGTCACACCACGACTTCATTCACTTCATTGGCTCCCTATACAAGCACGAATTGACTACAAACTCTCTGTTCTCTGCCACAACTTTTTCTCGAATTCCTCCCCTTCCTATCTAACCGATCTTCTGTCTGTCTATTCACCCCTTAGACAGCTTCGCTCCTCCGCAAGACTCGCACAAAAACATACGGTGAACGATCGTTCTCTTTCTGTGCACCCAAACAATGGAATTCTCTTCCATTACACATCAGCAATATACCGACAATCACAACCTTCAAAACTGCACACAAAACAGATCTATTTAATCTCTACTATCCTGACTGATTCCCACCTCTGACCGCCACTGAGTGTCGTCCATGGCTTGAGATGTAAATAGTTTTATATATACATTTATTTTGCTTTATTTAATTAATATGTGTCAATCAATTATTTCAGATTTCTATTATGTTTGTTAAAGTGTATGTACAGCGTGGTGAGTCCAGCCCTAGGCTGGGGTACCACGCTATATAAAACCAAGTATAATAATAATAATAATAATAATAATAATAATAATAATAATAATAATAATAATAATAATAATAATAATAATAATAATAATAATAATAATAATAATAATAATAATAATAATAATAATAATAATAATAATAATAATAATAATAATAATAATAATAATAATAATAATAATAATAATAATAATAATAATAATAATAATAATAATAATAATAATAATAATAATAATAATAATAATAATAATAATAATAATAATAATAATAATAATAATAATAATAATAATAATAATAATAATAATAATAATAATAATAATAATAATAATAATAATAATAATAATAATAATAATAATAATAATAATAATAATAATAATAATAATAATAATAATAATAATAATAATAATAATAATAATAATAATAATAATAATAATAATAATAATAATAATAATAATAATAATAATAATAATAATAATAATAATAATAATAATAATAATAATAATAATAATAATAATAATAATAATAATAATAATAATAATAATAATAATAATAATAATAATAATAATAATAATAATAATAATAATAATAATAATAATAATAATAATAATAATAATAATAATAATAATAATAATAATAATAATAATAATAATAATAATAATAATAATAATAATAATAATAATAATAATAATAATAATAATAATAATAATAATAATAATAATAATAATAATAATAATAATAATAATAATAATAATAATAATAATAATAATAATAATAATAATAATAATAATAATAATAATAATAATAATAATAATAATAATAATAATAATAATAATAATAATAATAATAATAATAATAATAATAATAATAATAATAATAATAATAATAATAATAATAATAATAATAATAATAATAATAATAATAATAATAATAATAATAATAATAATAATAATAATAATGGTAGGCGTGAACATTTGCCAGTAACAGAGATGAAAGCTCCATCTTACCTTAACACAGAATGACACGATTGTGTGAACACTGTTCCATAATTGCACGTGATGAACCTCAGTCCCTTGTCCGTCTCTGTCTCGTCCACTGTAAGCGGAGCACATGCTCTCTGTCCGTGCAACAAGGTTCTCACGCCTTCACTTGTGGCGACACTGCCACAGATTAACTGCGCCCCCAGTACCCCTGACCCAGTCAACGCCAAACAAAAAACACCTAACACTGTGAAAACCATCGCCTCCACTTGAAATATTGCCGGTCACCAGGTTCGTGCTCAGAGCATAAAACAAAATGGATCTAAAAGTCTCTTATTTTTTTAAATATTTTTCTTAAAGCTAAAAATATGCATCAGATTTAGCCTGATTAGAAACCCCTGTTAATCCAGTCTGCACAGTCAGCGAGCAAAGAAAGCGAGGTTGCTCTCTATTGATGTGATTTACCTCTGCACAGCTTAGTCAAATAATGCGTGAAATACCATTTGTTGCTTTATCCGAAAAGTCATCAGATGAGGACGTGTCGCGCTGTTCAAACGTACCTGTTAAATATTGGTGTATGGGGCCAGGTACTCAGTATTTATAGAGGACAGGTAATAATGACATTGAGTAGGGATTCTGCTATTCTTTTGAATACGTAACTTCTTTTTTTTTCCTTCCCTGTGAGTAATCATAGCTCTGCTAGATGTTAATGTCGACACCTGGATTACAAATAAGGGAAGAAGATGTATTTATAATCCATGTGTTTACATAACAATTTCAATGTCAAGGTCGTAATGAAACACTGCGTCACAATTTAGGGAAGAAGATATCCTTAAACGCCATGGTTCTTTACGACCCAGACATCTGTTAGGGGTCGGATGTGCACAATTGGGTTGAAGAGATTAAGAACCCCTGTTGTAGAAATAAGGCAGAGACATAAAAAAAGATTCAACCAGATCCGGATATATCACTTTTCCACTTGGACGAGAAGAACCGACTTCCTGAATCATGGCTACCCTCCCCTAGGTGGGATCGGCCGTGTGGATAGTATTAATTCCCTCCCCTGGGTGGAGTAAACCATGTGGATAGTATTAATTCCCTCCCCTGGGTGGAGTAAACCATGTGGATAGTATTGATTCCCTCCCCTGGGTGGAGTAAACCATGTGGATAGTATTAATTCCCTCCCCTGGTTGGAGTAAACCATGTGGATAGTATTGATTCCCTCCGCTGGGTGGAGTAAACCATGTGGATAGTATTGATTCCCTCCCCTGGGTGGGATTAGCCAAGGTGTTTGTATTTAAAAAATGTTAAAAGAGTTTTATTTTATAGGAACATACATTTTGCAAATTGAGATTGAGATAGAGAGCCAAGATATGAGTTGTATAGAGAGCAGCGGCCAATCAACGACAATATCAAGGTGCTTACAAAAAGAGTGTTTTTTTTTTAATGATCACGCTCCAAGTTCGTTGACATATGGTGTGCATGTTGAAGTTTGTTGACATATGGTGTGCATGTTGAAGTTTGTTGACATGTGGTGTGCATGTTGAAGTTCGTTGACATGTGGTGTGCATGTTGAAGTTCCTTGACATATGGTGTGCATGTTGAAGTTCGTTGACATATGGTGTGCATGTTGAAGTTCGTTGACATATGGTGTGCATGTTGAAGTTCCTTGACATATGGTGTGCATGTTGAAGTTCGTTGACATATGGTGTGCATGTTGAAGTTCGTTGACATATGGTGTGCATGTTGAAGTTCGTTGACATATGGTGTGCATGTTGAAGTTCGTTGACATATGGTGTGCATGTTGAAGTTCGTTGACATATGGTGTGCATGTTGAAGTTCGTTGACATATGGTGTGCATGTT